ATGGTCAATTGACTGCTTGAGCAAATTTATTATTATTATTATTTTTCCCTGTTTTCATATTTTACGTAATTAGATGGATTTGGCAACATTCATCACCATTAACTTGATTATTGTTCTTAATGAAGAACATTTACGCTTTTTGAAAGGAAAGAAGAGATACTTGGCGAAACTATCATGAAATTGAGCATTACAAAAACTGTAGATAACAATTACAATCATCATGAAAAACTCGGATATAGATTTTAAACAAAGTTCATGTTTCTTACCAAAATAAAAATAAATAAATAAAATCTTATATACAGGAAAAGGGAAATAAAGCAAAAGTACCTTCATCTGACCAGAAGTTAATAGAAAGACCTCAGAGTTCACGTGAGCGCAGAATAACTGAAACTGAGACATTCTTCAAGAAATTCATCCATTACAAGATCAAAATCCATCCAACCAAACCATCTCCACCAATCTCAGATTCTGTAGAGCACCTGCTAAAGAACATGTCTTTAAATGTTTAGGACATATGAAAGTTTTAAAGGTCTCTCCTCGCCTCGGAGAGTTTTAGCATAATTCCTCTGTACAGTACTACCTTACGGAATTTTTCCAGACTATACAAATGTGAAATGTCCTTACAGTTCTGCCCAACGCAAAAGTATTACACGATTCCTTCTAAATTCGCACATATGAAAATCATTAATCAATGTATGTCTTTCTTACTGTTTCAAACGAGTCGTACTTCATGTCAAAGAACCTATACCAAGCATACCCCAATCAACAGTACTTGTCTTATTTTGTTTGGTTCTGGGTTCTGCATCTATCACATAACTGTCAGCTCTCCGATTCTGCTGCTCAGCCTCCATGTTCTTATTATTCAATGAAGCTCGACCGTGGCATTGCCACCATATTTTTGCAGTATATCTGCAAAATATTTTTCCCCATTACAGAACCTCCACAGTTTCCAGGGGAAATCATGATAAGACCATGTATTACTGTAACTGGAAGATCATCTAAGGCCACAGGTAGGGAGCTCTTTGAACTACCAGGTGAGGAAGTTTTATTTCCATCAGAACCAGAAATCTCTTTTGAAAAATCAAAGTTGGTTGGTTCTTCTTCAACACACAGGCCAACGAATTCTTCCAGTAATATGGAAACCCAATAACAAAATGATTGCAAACCTAGTGAATTTAGAAGTTAAAAAATAACAAAAAAACAAATTGTCAATCCATCTGAAAAATCCCAGTAAGTAGGAACAGAGGAAGCAATTGAGGTAGCTATTGTGTGGAAAATGAAAGTTGAAATCTGATAGAACCTGTTCGAGAACAACACAATTAATTCTCACAAAATACAATTAATTCTTCCCACAGCTGAATTTACACACACACAGGAACTTGAATATGTAAGAATTGATTTGAGTGAATGGAAGAAATTGAACAACTCGAAATGGAAACAATAACAAGTAACACGGCAGATTTCGAGAGCTGCCCCTCTCCTATTGATTCAGATTTTTTCCTGATTTCTGAATGCTTTCTAGAATCTACTATTTGCTATTTATAAACACTATGACATCGGCATAACTAATTTGTTGCATAACTAATTTTCCCTCCAATTTCCCTCACACCCCCTTCTTGTGACGCCTTTAATAAGTGAACCATATGGGAGGCTTATCAAGACCCCCCTGCCAATGAAAGCACCTTGTCCCCAAGGTGGAATTCAGGAAACTGAGAGTTGATCGCTCCATTGGTTCCCAAGATGCTTCAAAAGATGGCAGATCCTGCCACTGAATCAAAACTTCCGGCCCTGTACTTTCTGGTTCCTTGGCTGGTCTAATGCCCAAGACCTTTGCAGGTTGCACCTTCCACTCTAATTCTGGACTAAGAAGTGCGGGTAAGGTTGGATGGAAGTGGTGGAACCCATGGCCTTTCGTAACTGAGATACATGGAACACAGGATGAATGTTTGCCTCAGCTGGCCCCTATTTTCTGAATAACAGCATAAGGACCAAAAAATCGAGGGGACAGCTTCTCATTTGCCCGCTTATCCAAGGACCGCTGTCAGTACTTCAGATAAACCAGATCCCCCTCCTGAAATTGTACTGCTCTCCTTCCGGATTCTGCCACTTTCTTGATATGGGACTGAGCCTTCTCCAGCTGTAACTTCAAAACACCAATCATCTCATCACGCAGTTGGAGCTGCTGATCCAAGTCAGCTACGGGAGTGTGCTGATTCACGTAATGTATGATGGGTGGTGGGTCTCTCCCATAAACCACCTTAAAAGGGGTGGTCTTGGATGAAGTGTGGAAAGAAGAGTTATTACCAAAACTCAGCCCAAGAGCGGGGATGGCCGTTTGCAAAACACCTTAAGTATGTCTCCAAACAATGGTTATCCACCTCCGTTTACCCATCCGTTTGTGGGTGATAGGCTGTGCTACGACGAAGATGAGTGCCTTGGAGGTGGAAGAGTTCAGTCCAAAATAGGCTGAGGAAAACCCTGTCTCTATCTGACACGATGGAGCGATGAAACCCATGATGTCTGACCACCCTCTGAATACAGAGCTCTGAAACAATTTTGGCCGTAAAGGGATGCTTTAATGTAAAAAAAATGAGCTTACTTGCTCAACTAATCCACAACTACTAAGATTGTGTCCCAACCTCGAGATTTTGGCAACCCTTAAATAAAATCCATTGTGAGGTCCTCCCAAATAGCCTCGGGTATGGGTAATGGTTGCAATAACCCAGCCGGTGATAGGGCCAAAAACTTGTTACGTTGGCAGGTGGTACAGGCCTCTGCGAACCTTTGTACATCTTTTTTCATCCCAGCTCAAAACAACAGACTGGCTATCCGTTTGTAAGTCTTCAAGACATCGAAGTGGCCCCCTACTGTACTCCCATGAAATTCTTGAAGTAGTCTGGGAATGAGATCCGAACCTCTAGGTAATACCAATCGGTGTTTGTAAAGGAGGCAGCCATCATTCACTGACCAACCTTCAATAGACAGGGGATCCTTAAGTAATGACTCCCTTATAGCTTCCAGCCTCTCATCAGTACTTACTGTCTCTGCAATTCTTCCAAATCAAGCACCCTTGTTACAATCATGACTACTAACTCTGCCTCCAACGGAAGTTTGGACAAGGCATTAGCAGCCTTATTCTCCAGGCCAGGCCTATACTGGATTTCAAAGTCATAACCAAGTAGCTTAGTGACCCACTTTTGGAGTTCAACACACACCAACCGATGTTCGAACAAAAACTTCAAGCTCTTTTGATCGGTGCGTACTACAAAATGCCGACCAAGAAGGTAGTGCCCCCATTTCTAGATGGCTAGTACTATAGCCATGAGTTCCCTCTCATAGATGGACTTAAGTCGAGCTCTTGCAGACAAAGTTTGGCTGAAGTATGCAATCGGACACTGTTGCTGTTATAAGACAGCTCCTAATCCCACCCCTGAAGCATCAGTTTCCACTACAAATGGAATGGAGAAGTTTGGTAAAGCTAGGACCGGTACTTTAGTCATGGCCTCCTTCAATGTTCTCTAAATTCCAATTGAATCAATCTTTCTTCAGCTGTCTTGTAAGGGGTTCGGCCAACTTCCCATACCCTTCACAAATCTTCGGTAATACCCCGTTAACCCCAAGAATCCTCTTAAGTCCTTAAGGTTCTTAGGCACCGACCAAGATTGCATCGTCTGAATCTTCTTGGGGTCAACTGTGACTCCTTGTGAGCTGATTAAATGCCTCAAGTATTCCAGGGACAGCCAAATTCACACTTCTTCTGGTTGGCATACAACTTTTGTTATTGTAATACCCCAAGCACCGTTCTTAAGTGTCCACAATGCTCCTCCAAGGTCCAGCTGTAAGCTAGGATATATCAAAAAATACTAGTACACACTTTCTCAACAACCCCTTGAACACTTTATTCATCAATGATTGGAGGGTTGTCGGGGCATTAGTAAGCCCAAACGGCATCACTAAAAATTTATAATGTCCCTCTTGAGTTCTAAAGGCCGATTTGTATTCATCACCAACCTTAAAGCGTATTTGATGATACCCCGACTTCAAATCCAACTTGGAAAAAATTGTGGCTTCGTGTAGTTCATCTAACAGCTTATCGATCGCTGGAATTGGAAAGCGATCAGGTATAGTAGCCCGATTCAAGGCTCGATGATCCACACAAAACCTCCACCCACCATCTTTTTTCTTTACGAGCAACACTGGGCTGGAAAATGGACTAATACTTGGTTGAATGATACCTAACCCCAACATTTCAGTTACCAGTCTTTCAATATCCGTCTTCTGTGCATGGGGATATCGATATGGTCTTACGCTAATGGGCTCACTTCCAGCCTTCAGCGTAATTGCATGCTCGTGACCTCGCAAGGGAGGTAACCCAATTGGTAATTCAAAAACATCTCTGTACTTCGTGATTATTTCCTGTAATGGCCGGGGAATATCACGATCCATCCGTTGCTCATCCACTTGCACCGAGCATAACTCTACCACCATTCCTTCTCCTTCCTTCTTTAAGGTTTTGAACATTGATTTCAATGAGATCATTGATTTACTCAAACCTTCGTCCCCTTGCAACGTAACCATTCTGTTTCCCATAGGTATTTTCATCACCAATGATTTTCAATTGATTTGTACTGTACCCAAGGTGCTAAGCCACTGCATTCCCAAGATTATATCAGAACTTCCTAGGTCGATAGTTAAGTAATCTTCCACGATTAACACCGACTGTCGACATTTTCCCTTCCCTTATACTGCCATACCAGTGCCAACCTACACTCGATAACCATTGGTCTCAGTGATTGACAATTTGAGTTTCCTAATTAACTACCAGGACATGAAGTAATGGGTAGCCTCAGAGTCTATCAATATCACTAGTTCCTGGTCCTTCACCATCCCTTTCAGCTTCATAGTTTTTGGTGAAGTCAACCACACTACTGAGTTCATAGATAACTCCACTCCTTTCGGCTCGTTACTATTCGTTGGCTCCAAAAGTTCTCCCCCTATTTCTTCCTTCCCCACTTCATCATCCACTAATAGTACCTATAATTCCTTGTTTCGACACCGATGACCGATGGTATACTTCTCATCACAACGAAAACATAACTCCTTCTCTTTCTTTGCTTGAATCTCAACTTGAGACAGCCATTTGAAACCAGCAATGGCGTTCGACAGATTGTTTCCCATCTTCTCCGGTAATGTAGTTCCCTTCAATAAGTTCCAGGAAAAGGTTCGCTGTTCGAACTTTACCGGCATAGGAGCAGGGATACTTCTAACTCGCGGCCTCTTCCTTTCCTTTACCTTACTGACCCGGTTATTTCTATCCTCCACCCGTTGAGCCATATCCATAATTTGTGACAATCCTGTCGAATTTGCCATCAACACTCCTGTCGAATTTGCCATCAACACTTCAGCTTGCACCTCCTCCACCAACCCATTAATGAAGACTCCTTCTAAAGTATCCTCACTCACATTCTTCAGAGGTGCAGCCATGATTTCAAATTGCTCTCTGAATTCTGCCACTCTTCCAGTCTGTCGAATGGCTAGAAATTGTTGGTGCAGGGTGCCATATTGAGGATCCCGAAACCTCACTAGTACCCTTTGTTTGAGTTCTGTCCAGCTGCGTATGGGATGCCTTCCCTCCTCCCATTGAAACCAGGATGAGGCGCTTCTCTCCATACACACCCCAGCCACCACAACTCTCTCAGCCTCAGCAATTTTATTCACATTGAAATACCTCTCAGCCCTGAATATCCAGGAGTCAGGGTCGACTACATTGAACAATGGTAACTCCAGCTTGCGATAGTTACCTTCGAAGGAATTTTCAGCTGCTTTCCCAGATGCGAAGGGCTCCAATTCAGTCGGGTTCTCTACGGTATTCACCGATTTCGTTCCACTTCCTTCTCCAGTCAAATCGGAAGTTTCTAGCGACCGCCCTTTAATCATTTTCACTAGGGCTAGGAGTCCTTCGTTCATTTTGCCCAGCTCCATCTCCAACCTTGCGTTCAAATGTTCCAGATCTCCTTTCAATTTGTTCACAGTGGCCCTCAAGGTCGAAATCTGTGATACCGAGTCTTCCAACAACTCGATTCGGCTATCCATTCTAGTGGCTGGCATTTGATTCCCAGAATTTCACGGCTCTGATACCAATTTGATAGAACCTGTTCGAGAACAATAGAATTAATTCTCACAAAATACAAGTAATTCTTCCCACAGCTGAATTTACGCACACACAGGAACTTGAATATGTAAGAATTGATTTGATTGAATGGAAGAAATTGAACAACTCGAAATGGAAACAATAACAACACGGCAGGTTCCGAGAGCTGCCCCTCTCCTATTGATTCAGGTTTTTTCTTGTTTTTTGAATGCTTTCTAGAATCTACTACTTGCTATTTATAAACACTATGACATCAGCATAACTAATTCGTTGCATAACTTAGTTTCCCTCCAATTTCCCTTACAACCCCTTCTTATGACGCCTTTGATAAGTGAACCGAATGGGAGGCTTATCAAAATCTCATTAGTACGTATATGATTATTTTTTTGATGAGTGCTGGGCATTGGAGCTACAGAAACCATCTACCCAATAGGAGATATTAAGCATGTTACGAACATGTATAGTTCCTTTACACAAGGTTTAAATTTAGGCATGAAAATTAGACAATTAGGATCGAGCCACCACAAGTGATTCCAATACAAATGCCAGCTTACAACTCAATGGCGATTTCATACGCATACTTTTTTTGTAGCATAAATGAGTGACATGCAAATACCTCATCTTCACCATATCCACTTCGCTAATATGTGAGGGTGAGGAAGAGAGAAGGAGATAGAGAGGTCCAAATAAATCCGTAAGAGAAAAATGTATTTGTGAGGATGGAACTTGGGAGAAATGAAAATAAATAAACTGAAAAGAAAAAAATTGGAAGATCCACTTTGACTACCAAGAAAGGAATTCCATGACAATTAATGGGTAGAGAGAGCAATAACTAACAAGAAAATAGAAGAAGAAAACATGAGAAAAGAGATGTAATATCCGACTTCTTGCTACGGGGGACAATTGCAGGGCTTTCAAAATTGAAATCAGGTATGTCGTAACTCAAACATTCAGTTCATGTTTCATTGCCTTCACATTTACTCTGCTAAATCAATACCTCTTAAATACTAATACTATGCTTCATTGAAAATAAAGATAATGGGAGCTGATAATCAATACCTCTAGAGGGAAGCCATTTTCAATAGTGTAAGTCCTATTCAGATGTCCGTGAACAGTATAGTTATTTCATCCACCGTCTCTTCATTGAAAATAAAGATAATGTGAGCCGATAATCAATACCTCTTGAGGGAAGCCATTTTCAATAGTGTGAGTCTTATTCAGATCTTCGTGAACAGTATAGTTATTTCATCCACCGTCTTAAGGGTGACAGCATCAAGTCTTTTGGATATTGGTGCAAAGTGAAAAAATCTTGTCCCTTTTGTCTCCTACTTTATAGAAAATAACCGAAGCTAAAAATGCAAAGATATAGTAATATTCACCTAACGATGAGGATTCAGGCAACAATGTTAATATTCAGAGTCCAATGCCAACAAATAAGAAGTGTCCCCAACAGAATTTGAGAACTAAATAGGCAATTACAACAGCCAAGATAACACAAAATTCAAGTATATTAAGTTCTCGTAAAATATCGTACTAGGAAGGAGCCCACACATGACACTCTAAATTGAAACTAAAAGTTATTCAATCAAAGTCTATCTTTTAGATTGTGAATAGATCAAATCAGCACAGGAACACATTCATCCACCCTTTTATCCTTAACTAATATTATATCTATTATGATTTCTTTTATAAATCTCATCTTTTGCTACTGGGTTAAAAATTTCAGAAGTTTTACCTATACTAGCCCCCATTTGGCCTCCATTTAATTAAATTTCATTTTTCTTTCCTCTATTTTCAATCACACGATCTTTCATAAAATAATATTACACATAAACAAAAAACTTTTCCTTCTTTTTCAACCGCTTATTTTTCAAAAAAACACCTATTTTCATTTCAAAAAATAGGGGCAAATTTCCAGCTCTCATTCTGGACAAACAAAAATTACAAAATAAAAAAGATGCTTTAAGAAGTGAAAATAATGGTGTCTATGAATAATTAAATATGAACGAAAAGCTCCCACTCTATATGGTTTCTTAATTTCACATTAATGTTCTCCATCAGAAATAGTATCCAATCAATACGCATGACGTCATTGTCATACGAATTTTTAACATGAGAGAGAGATATAGAAAAGTAAAAAATCTTACTCCCTAGAAGTGAAACCGCAGTCCGAAATGTTTTCCGTGTGGATCCTCATCGGCTTTGATCACCCAACAATCGTGCAACAAAACCTGCAAGAGGGAAAAGAAACATAAAAAGGAGTGTTATAGACACAAAAATAACGAACTGAAATAGTGGGTAAAGGAAATGCGTACTTCTTTTAAAATGAAGGAACGGACGGAGGTGCTGGTGGAAGAGTAAAGAGTTTTTTCATTTTCGAACACTAGTTGGCGTAGCCATGAGTGTGGTTCTTGGCGGGTTTTCTCAAGGGCCTGGAATGTCCATCTTTGTAATTGGGCTGTATAACTCGAGTCTGAATAATTAGCAAGAGCGTATAGGGGTTAGGTCCACATTTCTCGAGTCAAAATTACATTACAAATATTGGACCCTAGAGTTAAAATCTACAGTTCTAAAATCAGATTTCAACTTTATAATTTCATAAATCAGAACTTTTATTAACTAATAACAAATATAAAAATTAATTAATCTATCTAATAAATAATAATTTCAAACCCTAATTTATTCATTTCCTACCTCTCGTTCTCTATCTAAACCAAGGAACCCCTCTCTCCGCCGCCTCACCTTTCAACAACTCTCTCGCCGCCTCACTAAGAACCTCTCAACCTTAGACTCCCAGCGTCGGAATGAAGCCACTAGAAGCCGTCGGAGTGAAGCAGTGTCATATCTACCTTCACGCTCCTCCCTCTCCTTGAAGCCACTCGAAGTGAATCAGTGACTGTCGCAGGCACCGCCGTCGCGATGTGCCTTTGGATGTGAGAGACGATGGGACGTGGTGCTGTGTGTGTTGTGGTTATGTGGTGTCATGGGGTGTCTGGTGTGGTTGTATTGCGTTGTTGTGGTGCCGTGGGCTGTGGGAGAGGTGGTAGTGCATGGTTGCGATGTGTGTAGGGGCGGTGGTTGGGCGTGTTGTTGTGCAAGGGCGCGATGGTATTGGCGGCGTGGTGATTGCTCTGGCAGTGTGCTGTGCAGTTGACTGGTTGTTGTAAGATGGTGGGTATCTCTACGGTGGTAGATCTGATGGTTTGGTGGCGGTGGGCGGATCTGGTGTTTTGGTGGTGGTTAGCGGTGGTTGTGGTAGTGGGTGGGGTGATGGTGATGGTGATGGTGAGATGTTGGTGGCTGTGGTCTGTCCGGGTGAATGTGTTGATTAGTTTGATAGTGGTGTTATTGTCGGGTGGTGGTGGCAGTTTTGGTGGTGATGGTGGCGATGGTCGTCGCAAATGTTATGGTGGTCACAGATTATTTGGTTGATTGCAACCATTAAATTGGTAAATCTGTGACCAATAAAAAAGATAAATTGTGACTAAAAAAATTAGTAATTTGTGACTATTGTGATACTATTGTATCTGTGACCTATAAACACAATTGTGACGTGTAAATTTTTTATCTGTGATCAATAAACAAAGTGTGACCTGTAAAATTTTTGAATTGTGGCCGTAAAATAATTTATGACGTTAAAAATTTTTGATTCGTGATCGAAAAAATAATATGTAACTAAGTGAAATGTAAATTTGTGACACAATTGTATAGATCTGTAACTTTAATTTGTTTAATTAATAAAGTATATAATTGATAAAATAAATTATAAATAAATTTTAATGAAGATTTGATTTTTGAAATTTGAAACCTTTTTTCTTACTTTTGAAATAGACAATAGCTATCCTCTTATTTGTAAGATTTTCCCTAACAAATATTTCAAGATACATTTTAAAAATAATAAATTAGTGAAATCTTTTCAAAAATCAAGTAATTGTCATAAAATTAAAGGGAAGAGGAAAAATAAGAGAAGAAATAGAGAGTCAAAACTCAATTGTGTATTATTATGAACTAATGTCATATATTTATAGGGTTAAAAATAAGAGTTACAATTGAAATAAAATAGATTTTTCCTAAATTAGATAAGACTTATTCATATATCATGATAACACTAAATAATCATCAATAATTATTTCCTTATTTTACAACAATGATGCAATTTTGTGGACTATAATTTTGTTAATTAAGTCACACGGTCACATTATTTATCACAAATCACACAAAGTCACGATCACAAAAACATAAATTGTGGATCACAATTATATATTTAGTCACAAATCACATATTTTCATATGTCATATCATTTAATCGATCATAAATTATCAAATTAACTAGTGACAATCACTCTTCACGGTACGCCCACTCCATTCTATCCCATTCCTACGCAACCACTACATTTTCATATGTCATATCATTTAATTGATCACAAATTATCAAATTAATCATTCATAATCACTATATATCCTGTCTCCACTCCATTCTATCCCATTCCCACTCAACCACCACTAGCGCCACCAAGATCAAAGCAATTACCTCAAATCGGCTACCCACCACCACCAAACCACTAGCAACACCTCCATTTCCATCATACTACTACCTGGACCTCAACCACAACCAAGAGCACCAGATCCACCTCCATCACACTACCACCATCTCCACCACTGATACCTCATCTAAAAACATTGACTATCATCGACACCACCCAAACGTTACACCACCATCACCCCCACACACTCTTCCGTTTTCTTGTAAAAATTTATAACAATTTCAAGAACCAATGGAGTCGATCCTGTGTTGGTGGTGCCGAACTCTTTGTGTTTTATGTCTAGACGGTCAAGTCATCCTCGAAAATCCTAGAGGGAGAAAGATTGGAAACGTTCATTGAATAGGTGAATGGACTAGAGTAGAGACAAGAAACTCAGAAAGAATGTACTAATGGCAATGGCTACTAGTGGATGAGGGGAGCCAGAGTCCGATAAGGTACTTGCAGTGGCCTTGGTGGAGAGCAAACTCATTAGAATTAGTAATTTGCAACACGACAATAGAGAGCAACAAATGAGAAGCAGTGACTTGCAATAGCAATAGTGGTGGTTGATTGGAAGTGGTGATGGATCAAGTGGTGGAAATGGGGTTAGGGTAAAGGTTCCCCCGTGGGGATGGATGTGGAATGGGATGGAGATGAATTGCAATGTATTTTTAAAAAAATAAAAATTAAAAAATCTTAACTTATGTCTGTGTTTTGTATGGATTAAAATTTTCAAATCAATAGTTAATAATTAATTCTAACGAAACATTTTATGAGATCCACTAATTTTCAATCATATATTTCATTAATTTTTATAAAAATCTACTAAAATTTTAATTTTAACACACACCAAATAGGGACTATATAAACCAAAGTGATAAATTGGTCTCGCAGTACCTAGATTGACACGTGATGCTACCAAAAATCATACTTGATAGATCTCGAACTGAATGCTTGAACTCCGAACTTAGATGAATACGAACAGTCTTTTGGTATTTGAAACAAAGGCAATAAGGTGTGTTCTCGTCTCCTCTCCGATACTTAAGTCAGATAGGGAACTTTGTGCATAAAGTTATGAATTGAAAATAAAGAGAACGTACCTGAATAATAGGCCTTGGTTATGTATTTATAGACGTTGGTGGTAAAATCATAGAAGAATTTAATCATGTATGATCCTTATCTTCATAGGGTAAGATACTTGTGTTGCAACTAAAGTGTTGTATTTTAGTTTGAGTTAAAATGCTCTGAGCCAATGATAACATGTTTAAAGAGAGGAACTATGGTTTAGTTAGAGTTAGTACTTCCCTAGGTTGTTGAGAAGGATAGAATCAAGGGGTCTTAAACCTGACACCGACAAGGGGACAAGCTCGACGTAAAGACCCAGACCTCAGATTTGATGGTTTTGGGGAAGGTTGAGGTCGGGCCAAATAGGTCAAGTTCGAGGGTTATTAGGTTTTGGGGACATCAACATGGTTCACAACTCAATCCTTCGTTGTTTGCTCGGATGATTTAGGCGTCTATCTCAATTGCAAAAACACTGAGACAATAACCAATTCGCTTCCAAAATTTACTCTCATAGCTCTCTCAAATGACCAAAATCCAGTTCCATGAATCAACCAACCATCTCATTTGAAAATTATTTGGTGTCCAGTGAGCGTATGACAAATCTTTTTTTGAGATTCTCACTGCTATCTTTTAAGTGCCCCCCCCCCCCCAATCCATAGACTTAGGAGCTATATTTATTGTATTGCAATAGAGGAGAAAGAAGCAATTTCGGATTATTTTAAAATGATTAAAGAGGATCGACATAAAGAACGTGTGGAAAGACAAGTGTGTCAAGTTTGAGGCAGAATTTTCTACTAGGTATATTATATAATATTGGAAATCTTGTCAAGAAAGGAGTCTATCGTATTTGAATGATCTCAATTCAAAGTTCTCCACGGAAAATTATGCGTGTCTCCATCCAAATTGTCGTTGGCCAAAATAGCTTCCTCAAGTGAGCGAGACATAGAGCATCGATAATTCTAAGCCATCTTCTCGCCCAAACAAGCTATAAGAGAACTGAATTAGATGTTTAGTGGTTGCACACGTATTTATGGATATACATAAAGCATATTTTTACATGAATTACATCTTCTTCAACCTCCTCTATGCATAGCTTGATTCTTAGAGACTTAAAAGGGAGTTTGAAGCTTGGGGTTTCCAACTTGTCAAAAACGCATTATATCATCTCGTGAACACTTCGTTCTCTGTTTTATTGAAG